GCAACACGTGACAAAGAAGCTATATATATAGTGCTGAAAAATGCAAGCACAAAATGTCACATAATTGTGTGTGCTCAGAAGAGCAGGTGCACAAAAGAGCGGGTGTTCAAAGGAGCGGATCACAAAAGAGCGGGTGCACAAAAGAGTGGGTGCACAAAAGAGCGGGTGCACAAAAGAGCAGGCGCTCAAAAGAGCAGATGCACAAATGTTACATGCTTGAAAGAATGGGTTACAAAATGGAAGTAAAAAAGTGGGCTTGGCTAACAAAGAGAGTTTTACTAGGATAATCTCTTGTTATCTGCAATGATTGTAAGGTGAAATGTCACAATTCAATTTTTTTTTCCTTCAGACAAATTATGCCCTCAAAAATGTTAGCAAGCTGGATTGTCAGTTCTCACTTTCAAAAAAGCTGGCGCAGAAACCCAACAAACAAACCAAATTGTTTGATGGAATTTATGTTAATAGGTATCTGAATGATGTTTGCTGCTGGAAAGACCTCTCTATGAATGTGAAAAATCACTAAAATGAATTCAAATAAAAACTTTTTCTTGTAAAAAAAACCATAAAATATTGCATTGATAACATCAAGTATTGCTCAAAAGATAAGGCAGTCCGTGCAGGAGTAAAAAAATGCTCAAAACATGAAGTTGAAAAAAAAATCAATGATGGGAACAATGACTGTCCGCAGTCAATCCCTGCACATCAGACTTAATTTGTGTGACAGACTATTCTGTTGTGTGAAAATTAAGTTTTTTGCAAATTCAATGATTAAAAAGTAAAATTTTTTACTTTTTAACATTAATTTTAAACCAACAGAAGCCTGTTATTGGCATTTAGTCTGTTGTGAGGGAGGGAAAACTGCCTCCAAGTTTGGTTTGTTGTGTAAAAATATGTTGTGTGGGAGGTTTGTTGTGCAGGGGTAAACTATAGGTCTGTATAATACAGTACATTGCTCTTGAGAGGATTCAGACAGTAAGTGGGAAAGAAAAACCAAAAATTCAACATTGGGATGTTTTGACTTGAGGAGGTTCATGTTATCAAGGTAAAACTGTCTCACCATTTTTCAATGTCAAGTCATTCTTTCTGATAAATTGAAGAAAAAAAGTTTTGCAGAAATTCTGAAAACAAGAACAGAAATTGGATGCAAATGTTGGGAACTTTTCTCCTCAACATGAACAAAATCCTTTTTGCTTTTCTTCATCACACACATATATATAGGTTGCTGAAGGAACAAATTTGCAATTCCCACCAATGCTGAAACGTGCAGGCGGTGGAAACAAAAACAACAACAACAACAAAGCCAATAAGCCCAATAATAACCGACCTCAACTCCGACCCCAA